TACATAGAAACTACTAAAGTATCTCAAGAGGTCTTGTGGTTGAAGGAATTGTTAATCTAACTTGACATTTGATAAGGTGAGATTCCTCTAAATTGTGATAGTTAGAGTATTATTTGGTTGACAAAGAATTAGGTCTGTCATGTCCGATCAAAGTATATTGATGTGCATTATTAATAACTTGTGAAACTTATATGCTAATCTATTATCAAATTAGGGAGAATAATGTATATTTGAGAAATATTTCACAAGTTATCATGTTAACTATTTTATTTGTTATTAAAATGAACCTCTCTAAATCTTAATTTAAATTGATATTTTATGAATAAAAAGAAAAATTGATGAAAATTTATTTCATATCTTGAGACTTAATTCTCATTTATTTTTTAAAATAAAATATTATTATGCTCAATTTTTATGATTACTTGAAATGTATTTTACGTATTTTTTTTGAAAATTTTCAGCATTAAAAAAAATATAATAAGAGGCCGTCATTATTATATATGATAACATTTGCATAAATTTACTAATGTATCTTGTTATTCCTTTCAGATCTAATGGTAGTGTAAAAGTAGTGGTCAAATCCAATGCACTGCATGAAGCCACATCAGTACCACCGTCATGTGAAAAAGTAGCTCCAAGATCTAATGACAACAACTAGTAAATCTGACACACCGTATGAAGCCCTATGATAAGTCTTCATTATCATGAGTTAATAATTAGTAAATAATATAGTTTTAGCCTTAACTCATGATAAATAGACTTATATTTGTGTTAAAGTGTGAAAAGTAGTTTTCAGTTGATTAACATAAATTTTTAGGTAATTATGTTATTTTCTACGAATTTATATAATTTTGTAGTCTTATTTCTGAGATAAATGAAGAAAAAAATATATATATATAGTAAAATGGGGAAGACCCATTGGCCAGCTGGGCCCACAAGCGGGTCGGAAGCGCAGTCGAGGGCAGCCACGAGCAAGGGCTTGAGCGGCTAGGACCGATGGGGACATGTGTGCACCACTCCCCTTCCACATCACCGGTAGCTAGTCAGTTGTGAGGCAAAGAGTGGTCGTATATGGGGGAGAAAAGAACTCATTACTTGTAAATGTGATATTATTATATATTCACCCAAAACTTCAACGCACAAGTGATGTGGGACTAAACCCACATCACACTTTTCCCCGAAAGGCTTTAAAAATTTAAATCCTTAAATTACCCCCTCCTCATAACAGAGATATACCATGATGACATCACTTGATAAGGGCATTAGAGTACTCATTTTAGTCTCTCTCATACAAGCAGACAACCGGTGTGGGTTCGAATCCTTCTAGAGCCAAAACTCATATTTTTATCTAATTATTATGACTTTTTTGCATATCATTGATGAAAGATTAAGTCGTCATAATCATTGGATCATCAGTGAAAAACTTGTCAACGCGATTCGTGGAACATTGTTACTAAAATTACTGAATGATTCGTGATAAAAGGATCACGAATCCATCAGGTAAATCATCTCTGATTGATCGACAAACAAACAAGCCATCATCGAGAAGAGAATGATTTGTCGAGAGACGAGTCGCCACCTCCTGATAGTGTACTAGATACGATAAAGAGCCTTGTCTTACTGTGCGGACCTGAGGATAAAGCTCCCTAACATATGCTCTACCTCCATCCAACTCCTCTTTGTTAGGTGACAGCTGCTGGAAAGCCGCAAAGTCATCATTTTTCTGCTCTATCAGGTGATAGCCGCCAAAGACGATTTGATGACCCATTTTATTAATCTCTAGACTTTGCAAGGAGATCTAGAGATTGGCCACATCGCCCTTATCCTAGGAGAGCGTTCAAGGTCATGAACACAACACAACGATTCTCTCAAATGCTCAAGATTTTGGTGCATCGCCGATGCATCACTGCCGCGATGCTAAAACCCTCTTTTTCTTGCTTTCAACTTAATTTACGCTTCATTTAGTGATAATTTGTGTGATTTAAATTTACCAAACTTTACTTCATTCAATTACAATTCTTCCCGCTTTTACAAATCTTAATTTGATCAATTAAATCATCTATAATTGCTTACATTAGAATCCTCAATAGAACTCTATTTTTGCCTAATTTCCATTCATTGTGTGCTAATGTCATCTTGACGTCTACACCATTATTTTCTACTTTCATGAATTTTAAATATATTTTATTTTTATTTAGTAACATAAAATTCATAAAAAAATTATATTCTCTGGGAAAATTTTTGAAAAATTACTTGATATTATATTACATCCTTGGATTGACCTGAAAAATTACCACTATTTTTGAAAGTTTTATTGAATTATAATTGATATATTTGTTCAAAAATACTTCTAAATATCTAAAAATTAGTATTTTCTAGTTTTATAAATTTTAAATTTACGTGATTTACTATACAATGACTAAGTCACGTTAAATTTTGGTGCTGTTGTTGGTGATGTATTACATAGTATTTAATTTTTTTATGTTTTTCTCTTAGAGTACATAAAAAAATTAACTCTTATTTTTTTTCTTCTTGCAGATTTTCTTTTAGAAAAAAAGGAACGAAGAGAAGCAAGGCAAGGACTAGAGCATACTGAAGGAAGGTAACAATTATTAAAGTTTTTCCTTGAATTTATTGATTTTTATGTATGGTAGAAGATCGTTGCATTCAAGGCTAGAAAATCTTTTCACTATTTCATTCAAAACTAAAAATCCAAAAGAAAAATTAATTTTGATGAATCCAATATTAGAGGTCAAAGTGAACATAATCCTATGGCCATGAAAAATTATTATATCCTTGATTCATTTCAAAGAGCATCTAATATTAGAATCCGATTAGCACCTATTGTTAAATTCAAAATAAATTCAGAAATTTTTCAAATGCTCCCTAATTTTCATGGATTGCCTTTAGAGGAACCTCATTAGCATTTAGAAAAATTTCATGTAGTTTGTGATTTAGTTACTCTCTCTCAAGTTTACACTGAAAATTATTAAGATAAAATTATTTTCTCATATACTTAGGGACAAAACTAGTCATTTACTATTCACATTAGATAGATAATTAACTAGCTAGAAAGACATAGAATAGGGCTTTCTTCGAAAATTTTATCTCTTAGGAAACACTCAAAATATAAAAAATATATATGAAATTTTTCTCAAAGACCATGAGAAACTTTGCATGAGATATGGGAAAAATTTAAAGATTTACTTAGAGAATGTCCTCATCATGCTATACCCAAGTGACAACTCAATAGAATTTTTTATGATGGATTATTAGAACAGCATAGAAATATGATTGATTCTATATATAGAAGAGCTTTTATGGAGAAAACTCCTGATGAGATTTACAGTCTTTATGAGAATTTAAGTGAAAATTTTAGAGATTAAATTATATGATAGGGATAAGAAGAGAGAAATTTATGAATTGCATCATCAAAATGATTCTAATTTATGAAATGAGGTTAATCAGATTAATCAAATATTAGAAAAACTTGATTTACTTATTGAGAATATTAGAAAGCCTCTTAACCCTCAAATTAATTCAAATAGTACATGTCCTATGTATGGTGAAAATAATTATTCTGAATTTCAATGCTATAATTTAGATCAATCGTTTCACTCTATGCAAGAATAAGTGTAAGTAGCTCACGGTTTTAATAGAAATAGAGAGCCTTTTTCTAATTCTTATAATCCTAATTAGGCCTAATTCAAACTCTAAATTTTGTCCAAAATAGGAAAACAGATTTTAGAAAACTCAGCCCTCTCAAGTCTAACTTAATGCTATGAAAATGATGTAGAAAATGAGTCAAATGATGCAACAAACTATGAATCAAATGATGTTGCAGTAGAAACAAATTATAGAGGTTCTTGAGAATAAGAGAAGAGGGATAACTACTTAGTCAGCCCATAGAAAATCCAGGGAACCCCCTAACAATAGGATTTCAACAAGGGGAGTCTAGTAGCATGAATCTAGGAAAAAACCCACGAAATGAAAATGTTAGGACAGTGAATGCATTAAGGAGTGGGAAGATTTTACCTGATCCTTAGTCTCAAATATTATAAAAAAAGGAAAACATGGACAGCCCAAAACAAAATCAAATACGAGTAGAAGAGGATTTGATAGATTCTACCAAGGAAATTCCAAAAGAGAGGACAATCATTCTATTTCCTAAAGCTCTAGAACCTAGACAAAGAAAGAAAAAGGAACACAATGAAGAAATAAAAAAAAATATATAAGATGTACAAATTAGTCTTCTTTTACTCACTACCATTGAACATATTCCTGAATATGCTAGAGTTTTGAAAAAAATGTGTACACCAACAAGGGCACTTAGAGTAAAAAAATTATCTATGCATACTAGTGCTTTATTATTACCATATAAATTGAGAGATACTGGTGCCCTTTCTATTTTGTGTGATATTGGTGGATCTATTTTTCAAAATGCATTACTTGACACCAGTGCTAGTATTAATTTATTACCTACAAGTATTTGTAATAAATTTAATATTTTTTATCTTAAACCTTCTATTGTAACCTTATCATTTGTTGATAGATTTATAAAATATCCTAAAGGTATTTTAGAAAATGTGATAGTGACAATTAAAGGGTGTAAAATTTTCAATTGATTTTGTAGTACTAGAAATAGATTTTTAATGGACAATTTTATGATACACTAATCATCATAAGGAGACCAGTTTTGCATATAACAAAGATAAATATTGATTTTCCTATAGGTATTGCAAAAATTTTATGTGGAAATCAATCAATAGAAATTAAAATTTTTGAGGTATCTGATAAGTCTTCATTATCATGAGTTAATAATTAGTAAATAATATAGTTTTAGGCTTAACTCGTGATAAATAGACTTATATTTGTGTTAAAGTGTGAAAAGTGGTTTTCAGTTGATTAATGTGATTTTTTGGGTAATTATGTGATTTTATACGAATTTATATGATTTTTACAGTCTTACTTTTGAGATAAATGAAGAAAAAGAAATAAAACTAAAATATTGCAAAATAGGGGGACCCGCCGGCCAGCCGGGCCCGCAAGCGGGTCGGAAGCTCAGTCGGGGAGTAGCCGCGAGCAGGGGCTCGAGCGGCTTGGACCGATAAGGGCACGTGTGTGCCACTCCCCTCCCACGTCACCGGTGGCCAGCCGGCTGTGGGGCAAGGAGTGGTCGTACACGCGAGAGAAGGAACTTTGCTTAGAAAGCTAACATTACTATATATTTGCTTGAAAAATTGGCGCACTACCGATGTGGGACTAAACCCGCGTCACACCTTCCTCAGAAGGGGGCGAACAACCGGCGCGGGTTCGAATCCTCCCAGAGTCAAAATTCATATATTTTTATCTGATTATCGCGACTTTCCTGCAGATTGCCGGTGAAGGATTAAGCAACCAGAATCGCTGGATCATCAGCGAAAATCTCGTCAATGTGATTCGCGGAGCATTGCTACTAAAATTGCTGAATGATTCGTGATAAAAGGATCGCGAATCCATCGAGTAAATCATCTCTGATTGATCGACGAACAAGCCGTCGTCGGGAAGAGGACGATCCGCCGGGAGACTAGTTGCCACCTCCTGAGAGCGTACTGGATGCAATGAAGAGCCTCCTCTTGCTGCGCGAACCTGAGGATGAAGCTCCCTGACACGCGCCCCACCTCCATCCAGCTCCTCTCCGTCGGGTGACAGCCGCCAGAGAGCCGCAAAGTCGCCGTTTTTCCGCTCCACCGGGTGACAGCCGCCGGAGACGACTCGACGATCCATTTCATTAATCTCTAGACTTCGCGAGAAGATCTAGAGATTGCCCACGTCGTCTTTGTCCAAGGAGAGCCTTCGAGGCCATGGACACTGCGCGACGACCCTCCCGAATGCTCAGGATTCCGGTGCATCGCCGACGCATTGCCGTCGCGACGCTGGAACTCTGTTTTCCTGCGTTCAATTTAATTTACGCTTCATTTAGTGATACTTTATGTGATTTTAATTTACCAAACTATACTTCGTTCAATTACGATTCTTCCGGCTTTTACAGATCTTAATTTGATTAATTAAATCGTCTGTAATCACTTACGTAAGAATCGTCGGGCGGAACTCTGTTTTCGCCTGATTCGCGTTCGCCGGGCGCTGACGTCATCCTGACGTCCGCACCCTTATTTCCTTTTTTTTCGTAAATTTTAAATATATTTCCTTTTTATTTCCTAGTATAAAATTCATAGAAAATCGTATTCATTGAGAAAAATTCTGAATAATTACCAGATATTATATTACATCCCTGTGATCGACCTGGAAAATTACCGCTATTTTTGGAAGTTTTATTGAATTATAATTGATATATTTATTTAGAAATACTTCTAAATATCCGAAAATTCGTATTTTCTAGTTTTATAAATTTTATATTTGCGTGATTTAATATACAACGACTGAGTCACGTCAAATTTTGGCACCGTTGCCAGGGATGTATTGCATAATATTTAGTATTTTTCTGTTTTTCTATTAGAGTACAAAAAAAAAAAAAAAACTTAACTCTTATTTTATTTTCTTTTTGCCAATTTTTATTAGAAAAAGGGAACAAAAAGAAGCACGGCAAGGACTGGAGCATCCTAAAGGAGGGTGACAGTTACTAACTTTTTCCCTCGAATTTATTGATTTTTATGCATGGTAGAAGATCCTTGCATCCAAGGCTAGAAAATCCTTTCATTATTTCATTCAAAAATAAAAATCCGAAAGAAAAATTAATTTTGATGGATCCTGAAGGAAGTACAGGTCAAACTGAGAACAATCCTATGGCCATGAAAAATCATTATATCCCTAATTCATTTCAAAGAGCATCCAATATTAGAGTCCCTTTAGAACCCACTGTTAAATTCGAAATAAATCTACGAATTTTTCAAATGCTCCCTAATTTTCATGGATTGCCTTTAGAGGAACCTCATCAGCACTTAGAAAAATTTCATATGGTCTGTGATTTAGTTAATCTCCCTCAAGTTACACCAGAAATTATTAAGATGAAATTATTCCCTCATACACTTAGGGACAAAGCTAGTCATTGGCTATCCACATTAGATAGAGAATTAACTAGCTGGAAAGATATAGAACAGGCCTTCCTTCGAAAATTTTATCCCTTAGGAAAAACTCAAAATATGAGAAAACATATATGGAGTTTTTCTCAAAGACCAGGAGAAACTTTGCATGAGACATGGGAAAAATTTAAAGATTTACTTAGAAAGTGTCCTCATCATGCTATACCCAAGTGGCAGCTCAATAGAATTTTTTATGATGGATTATTAGAACAACATAGAAATATGGTTGATTCTATATGTGGAGGAGCTTTTATGGAGAAAACTCTTAATGAGATTTATAGTTTTTATGAGAATTTAAGTGAAAATTCTAGAGATCAAGCCTCTTTTGAATTATACGACAGGGATAAGAAGAGAGGAATTTATGAATTGCATCATGATGATGATTCTAAACTTAGAAATGAGGTTAACCAGATTAATCAAAGATTAGAAAAAATTGATTTACTTATTGACAATATTAGAAAGCCTTTTAACCCTCAACTTAATTCGAATAGTACATGTCCTATGTATGGTGAAAACGATTATTCTAAATTTCAATGTTATAATTTAGATCAATCATTTCACCCTATGCAAGAACAAGTGCAAGTAGCTCACGGTTTTAATAGAAACAGGGAACCTTTTTCAAATTCTTATAATCCTAATTGGAGGAATAATTTTTCATAGAGAGACCCAAATAATATTCAAAATCCAGAAGCACTTAGACCCAATTCAAACTCTGAATTTCGTCCAAAACAAGAAAACAGATTTCAGAAAAATCAGTCCTCTCAAATCCAACCTGATGCTATGGAAATGATGTAGCAAATGAGCCAAATGATGCAACAAACTATGAACCAAATGATGCTGCACCAGAAACAAATTATAGAGGCTCTTGGGAATAAGAGAGAAGAGGGACAGCTACCTAGTCAGCCCATAGAAAATCCAGGGAACCGCCCAACAATAGGATTTCAGCAAGGGGAGTCTAGTAGCATGAATCTAGGAAAAAACCCACGAAATGAAAATGTTAGGACAGTGAATGCATTAAGGAGTGGTAAGATCTTACCTGATCCTTATCCCCAAACATTAGAAGAAAAAGAAAACGTGGACAACCCAAAACAAAATCAAATAGGAGTAGAAGAGGATTTTATAGATTCTACCAAGGAAATTTCGAAAGAGAGGACAACCATTCCATTTCCTAAAGCTCTAGAGCCTAGACAAAGAAAGAAAAAAGAACACAATGAAGAAATAAAGAAAATTTTACAAGATGTGCAAATTAGTCTTCCTTTACTTACTGCCATTGAACATATTCCTAAATATGCTAGAGTTTTGAAAGAAATGTGTACACCAAAAAGGGCACCTAGAGTAGAAAAATTATCTATGCATGCTAGTGCATTATTATTAAATCAATTACCATATAAATTGAGAGATACAGGTGCCCCTTTAATTTCGTGTGATATTGGTGGATTCATTTTTCAGAATGCATTACTTGACACCAGTGCTAACATTAATTTATTACCTGCAAGTATTTGTGATAAATTTAATATTTCTGATCTTAAACCTTCTACTGTTACCTTACAATTTGCTGATAGATCCATAAAACATCCTAAAGGTATTTTAGAAAATATGATAGTGACAATTAAAGGGTGTAAATTTCCAGCTGATTTTGTAGTACTGGAAATGGATTTTAATGGACAGTTTTATGATACACCAATCATCTTAGGGAGACCATTTTTGCATACAGCAAAGATGAATATTGATTTTCCCACAGGTATTGCGAAAATTTCATGTGGAGATCAATCAGTAGAAATTAAAATTTTTGAGATATCAAATGATCTTAAGAAATCCCAAGTATATGATTGTCATACCATAGATCTTCTAGATGATTTTGATGATCCAGATGTTATTGATGACTGTGTGCTGAAAGAATTAGAGGAAATAGAGAATATAAATTTAGAAGAAAAGAAAGAGGAAGATCATCTGAATTTAGAGTTGAAACCTCTTCCCTCTAGTTTAAAATATATGTTTTTGGAGGAAAATAATTCATTTCCTGTTATTATTGCAGCTGATTTGAGTGATGAACAGGAAGAAGAATAATTAGATGTACTTCGAAAAAATAAGAAAGCTATGGGCTGGAAAATGGACGATTTAAGGGGCATTGATATGAGTGTATGCATGCATAATATATATTTAGAGGAGGGGGCTAGAACTAGTAGGGAACCACAACGAAGATTAAATCCTAAGATGATGGAAATTGTAAAAAAGGAAATTTTAAAGTGGCTAGCTGCTGATATTATTTATCCTATTTCAAATAGCAAATGGGTTAGTCCTACACAAGTAGTGCCAAAAAAATCAGGGATCACAGTTATAAAAAACGAAAATGGGGATGAAATACAAACAAGATTAACTACCGGTTGGAGAGTTTGCATTGATTATAGAAAATTAAATTTAGTTACTAGAAAAAATCATTTTCCCCTACCATTTACTGATCAAATTCTAGAAAAATTAGCTGGAAAAAACTTTTTTTGTTTTCTGGATAGATACTCTAGTTATAATCAAATTTATATAAACCCTTTAGATCAAGAAAAAACAACTTTCACTTGTCCATTTGGTACTTTTGCTTTTAAACGCATGCCTTTTGGTCTGTGTAATGCTCCAGCCACATTTCAAAGATGTATGATGTCTATTTTTTCTGATATGATTGGAAAATGCATGGAAATTTTTATGGACGATTTTTCTGTTTTTGGCGAATCATTTGATGAATGCTTAAATCATTTACAGCATGTACTTGAGAAATGCATAGAGAAAAAATTAGTTTTGAGTTGGGAGAAATCACATTTTATGGTTAAAGAGGGAGTTGTGTTGGGTCATATTGTGAGTAAAATGGGTTTAGAGGTGGATAGAGCAAAAATTGATATTATATCTAAAATGAAACCTCCAAATTCAATAAAACAGATTAGATCTTTCTAGGGTCATGCAGGTTATTACAGAAAATTTATTCAAGATTTTTCGAAGATTTCTAAACCTCTCACCATGCTATTATCTAAAGATGTGCCTTTTAATTTTGATGAGAAATGTTTTGAGTCTTTTTCCGTAATAAAAAGATTACTTACTGAGGCACCCATTTTACAAGCTCCTGATTGGTCCCTTCCCTTTGAAATAATGTGTGATGCATCGAATTATGCAGTGGGGGCCGTTCTAGGACAAACAAAAGAGTCAAAACCCATAGTAATTTCATATGCTAGTAAAACTATATCCGATGCTCAATTAAATTATACCACGACTGAAAAAGAGTTGTTAGCTGTAGTATTTTCGTTAGAAAGGTTTAGATCATATATTTTGGGAGCTAAAATTATTATTTATACTGATCATGCAGCATTAAAATATATGTTAAATAAGAAAGATGCAAAGCCACGTTTATTAAGATGGATTTTATTGTTGCAGGAATTTGACTTAGAAATAAAAGATAAAAAAGGTTTTGAGAATGTTGTTGCTAACCATCTTTCTAGATTAAGTGACACAGGAATAAATGCAGCACCTTTACAAGACGCATTTCCAGATGAATAATTGATGGCAGCTCAACATTAACCATCACCATGGTATGCACATATTGTTAATTTTCTGGTTTCTGGACATTGTCTTCAATGACATAGAAAAATGACATTGTCTTCAATGACATAGAAAAATGACATTGTCTTCAATGACATAGAAAAATCGAAATAGAATATGGAGAAAATATAATTTTCAAGTGAAACATGCATATGTGCAAAGTTAAGCATTAAAAATATTTTCATAAATGATAAAGCTTAGAAAGACATCACCTCAACCTCGTTTTTAATTTTCCACTTCATCTTACACTCCTACACTTTTTTGAAAAAACAAATACAGAAACAAGTACTGTGAAATTCTTAAAAAAATAGAGCTTAACAAAAAATCAAACAAAATGAAATAAAAACCATGGGTTGTCTCCCATGCAGCACTACATTTAATGTCTCTAGCTGGACTCCTTGATCTTACTCTTGAATTTCTTTTAATAATAAAATTTATTTTTCTACAAGGCATTCATATTCTATCTAATGTTTAAGCCGTTGTCCATTTACTTGAAAGTTATGATCACTTTTAGGATCTTTAATCGTTACAGCCCCATGATCATATGTCTCTTCCACCACATAAGGCTCTTTCCATTTGGATTTTAATTTTCTTGGGAATAATTTCAGCCTAGAATCATATAACCACACTTTTTGTCCAACATCAAAAAATTTTCTGCTAGTGTATTTATCATAAAAAGTTTTAGTTTTTTCTTTATATATTCTATGATTTTCATAAGCTTCATTCCTCAATTCCTCTAGTTCATGTAGCTGAAAAATTCTATGCCCACCAGCTGATTTTTCATCTATACATAAATTTTTTATAGCCCATAATGCTTTATGCTCTATTTCCACAAGAAGATGAAATGGCTTTCCAAAAATGAGACAAAATGAGGACATACTTATAGGATTTTTATAAGCTGTTCTATAAGCCCATAATGCATCTTGTAATTTCGTGGGCCAATCTTTCCTATCTGGTCTAACTATTTTTCTCAAAATTCTCTGAATTTTCCTATTTGCTACTTCAACTTGTCCATTTGTTTGGGGATGATATGGAGTGGCTACTCTATAGTGTACTCCATTCTTTTTCAACAGTTCCTTGAAATGTTTATTTGTAAAATGTGTTCCTCCATCACTAATAATCACTCTAGGACATCCAAATCTTCAAAAAATGTTTTCTTACACAAATTTCATCACGATTTTATGATCATTAGTTCTAGTAGGAATAACTTCCACCCACTTCAACACATAATCAACAGCAAGTAAAATATATTCATATTTTTCAGCTGATGGGAAAGGACCCATGAAATCTATTCCCCGTACATCAAAAATTTCAACTACTAACATGTTAATCATGGGCATTTCATCTTTTTTACTCATGTTACTTATAGATTGGCATGAAATACATGTTCTACTAAATTCTATAGGATCTCTAATGATTGTAGGCCAATAAAAATCACACTGAAAAATTTTTGCAGCTATTTTTCATCTAGAGAAATGCCCTCCATAGTTAGATGAATGGCACATGTTAATAATGCTATGATATTCTTCTTCAGGAACACATCTCTTTAAAATTTGATCATTGTCCTAGTAATATAAATCAGGATCATGCCAAAAATAATTTCTAATCTTAGGAAAGAAATGATGTTTTCTATTCTTATCCATTATTCTGGAATTTTTACAGAAATCAGAAAATTAACAATGTGCATACCATGGTGATGGTTGATGTTGAGTTGTCATCAATTGTTCATCTGGAAATGTGTCTTGTAAAGGTGCTGCATTTATTCCTGTATCACTTAATCTAGAAAGATGGTCAGTAACAACATTCTCAAAACCTTTTTTATCTTTTATTTCTAAGTCAAATTTTTGTAACAATAAAATCCATCTTAATAGACGTGGCTTTGCATCTTTCTTATTCAATAGAGATTTTAATGCTACATGATCAATATAAATAATAATTTTAGCTCTCAAAATATATGATCTAAACCTTTATAATGCAAATACTACAGCTAACAACTCTTTTTCAGTCATGGTATAATTTAATTGAGCATCGGATATAGTTTTACTAGCATATGAAATTACTATGGGTTTTGACTCTTTTGTCTATCCTAGAATGACCCCTACTGCATAATTCGATGCATCATACATTATTTCAAAGGGAAGGGACCAATCAAGAGCTTGTGAAATGGGTGCCTCAATAAGTAATCTTTTTATTTCAGAAAAAGACTCAAAACATTTCTCATCAAAATTAAAAGGCACATCTTTAGATAATAGCATGGTGAGAGGTTTAGAAATTTTTGAAAAAATTTGAATAAATTTTATGTAATAACCTGCATGACCCAAGAAAGATTCAAGAAAGTTTGACCTGTACTTCCTTCAAGATCCATCAAAATTAATTTTTCTTTCAGATTTTTATTTTTGAATGAAATAATGAAAGGATTTTCTAGCCTTGGATGCAAGGATCTTCTACTATGCATACAAAATCAATAAATTCAAGGGAAATGTTTAGTAATTGTTACCCTCCTTCAGTATTGACGTGACTTAGTCGTTGTATATTAAATCACACAAATCTAAAATTTATAAAACTAGAAAATACGAATTTTCAGATATTTAGAAGTATTTCTGAATAAATATATCAATTATAATTCAATAAAACTTCCAAAAATAGCAATAATTTTCCACGTCAATCACAAGGTTGTAATATAATATCTGGTAATTATTTAGAATTTTTCTCAATGAATACGATTTTCTATGAATTTTATACTAGGAAATGAAAAGGAAATATATTTAAAATTCACAAAAAAGGGAAGTAAGGGTGCGGACGTCGGGATGACATCAGCACCCAGGGAACATGAATCGGGCGAAAATAGAGGTTCCGCCCGACGATTCTTACGTAAGCGATTACAGACAATTTAATTGATCAAATTAAGATTTCTAAAAGTCGGAAGAATCGTAATAGAACAAAGTATATTTTGGTAAATTAAAATCACAAAAACTATCACTAAATGAAGCGTAAAGTAAGTTGAAAGTAGGAAAACAGAGTTCCAGTGTCGCGACGGTGATGTGTCGGCGATGCACCAGAATCTTGAGCATTCGAAAGGATCATCGTGTAGTGTCCATGGCCTCTAAGGCTCTCCTTGGACAAAGACGACGTGGGCAATCTCTAGATCTCCTTGCGAAGTCTAGAGATTAATGAAATGGGTCGTCGAGTCATCTCTGATGGCTGTCACCCAGTGGAGCAGAAAAACGGCGACTTTGCGGCTCTCTGGCGGTTGTCACCTAACGGAAAGGAGTTGGATGGAGGTGGGGCGCGTGTTAGGGAGCTTCATCCTCAGGTCCGCACAGCAAGAGAAGGCTCTTCATCACATCTGGTATGCTCTCAGGAGGTGGCAACTCGTCTCCCAGCGGATCGTCCTCTTCCTGACGATGGCTTGTTCGTTGATTAATTGGAGATGATTTACTCGATGGATTCGCGATTCATTTATCGCGAATCCTTCAGCAATTTGAGTAACAATGCTCTGCGAATCGCATTGATGAGATTTTCGCCGATGATCCAGCAATTCTATTTGCTTAATCCTTCACTGGCGATCTACAGGAAAATCGCGATAATCAGATAAAAATATGAGTTTTGGCTCTAAGAGGATTCGAACCCGTGCCAGTTGCCCCCTACCTCTTCTGAGGAAGGTGACGGGTTTAGTCCCACATTGGTTGTACGCCAAATTTTCGGGCGATTATATAGTAATGTTACATTTCTAAGCAAAGTCCCTCTCACGCGTGTATGACCACTCCTTGCCCCACAGCTGGCTGGCCACCGGTGACGTGGAAGGGGAGTGGCGCACACGTGTGCCCCCATCAGTTCAAGCCGCTCGAGCACCTGCTTGCGGCTACTCCCCGATGGCACTTCCGACCTGCTTGGGGGCCCGACTCGCCGGCGTAGGTTCCCCCATTTTGCAATATATTTTTTTTTATTTCTTGTTCTTCATTTATCTCAAAAGTAAGACTGTAAAAATCGTATAAAATCACATAATTACCCAAAAATTCACATTAATCAACTAAAAACCACTTTTCATACTTTAACATAAATATAAGTTTATTTATCATGAGTTAAGGCTAAAACTATATTATTTACTAATTATTAACTCATGATAATGAAGACTTATCACACTCCTCAACTTAAATTATTGCTAGTCCCTTAGCAATGGAATTACGAAAATAAAAATTTACAAATCTCAAAGATCATATTTCAATATAGAGAAAAAAATAGAATTAGAAATGATGCACCTTTAGACACTTTGGATTCTTATATCAAGTATTTAAGAATGATGTCAAGCACTTAAATGTTTAAACACTCCTTGGAATAACAATCTAGACTTCACTTCTTCTATTCACATCTTTATCACTTCTTTACTCATAGATGTATTTATAAGATGTTCTAATTATCAATACTCATCCAAGAATAATATTGATCATATATTTCCTTTTTTCTATGACTTGATTTTTGAAGTTTGCACTATATTTCTTCCTTCTTTTTTATTTTTATTTTTATATATAGTGGATAAGTAACTTTTCCTATAGACAAATTTCGACAAAAAAAATGATGTCTCACACCCTCCTTGTGTACTCTTCATTTTCAGGGCTTTCACTTTATCCACTTATTTTTGCAGCAAGTGTTTTTCTATACACGATTTTCGACAATGAGAATGATGTCTCACACCCTCCATGTGTACTCTTCATTTCTAGATTTTTCACATTGCTCTCTCTTTTTCTTTTCTTTTTTTTTAAAATAAGTGATTTCTCTTCACAAGTCCTATAGATCAAGGTGCAAAAATCTCCATTAAACTCAAATGATCAATCAAATTTTCACATCAAGTAAATACTATCCATCAAGATCATGAAGTGAAAATCTGTAAAATCAAATCCATGTTATCTATCATGTATCCAAGGAGTATTCCAACATTTTATGCTACTAGATCATTCTTTTGACTCAGTTATAATCTTCCTAATATCTATTTGGTATCAATCAATCTAATTGATTTAATTTTTCATGCATGCAATATGATGTCAGAAATTTGTAAATTAGATAGTTCTGATAGTTCTATTTTCTGTTTTCAGTTCTATTTTTAGCACAATAAATTTGTCAAAAATAAATCAAAACTATCCTCTTTATAGCTGTAATTTCGAATTTTAGTAATATATATCTAGGGGATTGAACTGTGAGAAAAGGGTCTTCTAGAATTTCTAATTTTAGGCTATTTTTTGTTTGCTGTTTTTGATAGTCTGTTATTCCTGACAAAAAACCAGAAAATAGATGTTGCAATTTTTTCGAATTTTATTTTATTTTTATTTTTTTAGTTGTTGTTCTAAGTTGAATAAAATACAAACACATGTTCTTAATCGTCCTACAGCATAAATTAATAATGAATACTTCACCCCCCAACTTAAAAATGACATTGTCCTCAATGACAAAGAAAAATCAAAATAGAATATGTAGAAAAGATAATTTTCACGTGAAGCATGCATATGTACAAAAAAAATATTTTCATAAATGATAAAGCTCAGAAAGACATCACCTCAACCTCGTTTTTAATTTTCTACGTCATCTTACAATCCTCCTCCTGCACTTTTTTGAAAAAGAAAATACAAAAGCAAGTACTGCAAAATTTTAAGAAAAACAGAGCTTAAAAAAAAATAATCAAACAGAATAAAATAAAAACCATGGGTTGCCTCCCATGCAGCATTGAATTTAATGTCTCTAGTTGGACTCCTTGATCTTAAACTCTAATTTCTTTTAATAATAAAATTTCTTTTTCTGCAAGGCATTCATGTTCTATATAATATTTAAGCCGCTATCCATTTACCTTAAAGTTATGATCACTTTTAGGATCTTTAATCATTACAACCCAATGATCATATGTCTCTTCCACCACATAAGGCCCTTTCCATTTTGATTTTAATTTTCCTGGGAATAATTTCAGCCTAGAATCATATAACCACACTTTTTGTCGAACATCAATTTTTTTTCTACTAATGTATTTATCATAAAAAGTTTTAGTTTTTTCTTTATATATTCTATGATTTTCATAAGCTTCATTCCTCAACTCCTCTAATTCATGTAGTTGAAAAATTCTATGCCCACTAGCTGATTTTTCATCTATACATAAACTTTTTATAGCCCATAATGCTTTATGCTCTATTTCCACAAGAAGATGATATGGCTTTCCAAAAATGAGACAAAATGGGGACATACCTATGGGATTTTTATAAGCTGTTCTATAAGCCCATAATGTATCTTGTAATTTCGTGGGCCAATCTTTCCTATCTGGTCTAACTATTTTTCTCAAAATTCTCTAAATTTCCTTATTTGTTACTTCAGCTTGCCCATTTGTTTGGAGATGATATGGAGTGGCTACTCTATGGTGTACTCCATTTTTTTTTAAGAGTTCCCTGAAACGTTTATTTGTAAAATGTGTTCCTCCATCACTAATAATCACTCTAGGACATCCAAATCTCAAAAAAATATTTTTCTGCACAAATTTCATCACGATTTTATGATCATTAGTTCTAATAGGAATAGCTTCCACCCACTTCGACAAATAATCAATAGCAAGCAAAATATATTCATATTTTTCAGGTGATGGGAAGGGACTCATGAAATCTATTCCCTATACATCAAAAATTTTGACTACTAACATGTTACTCATTGGCATTTCATCTTTTTTACTCATGTTACCTATAGATTGGCGTGAAATACATGTTCTACTAAATTCTATAGAATCTCTAATGATTGTAGGCCAATAAAAACATCATTGAAATATTTTTGCAGCTATTTTTCATCTAGAGAAATGTCCTCCACAATTAGATGAATGGCACATGTTAATAATGTTATGATATTCTTCTTCAGGAACACATCTCCTTAAAATTTGATCATTGCCCAAGTAATATAAATCAGGATCATGCCAAAAATAATTTCTAATCTTAGAAAAGAAATGATATTTTTTGTTCTTATCCTACTGCTCTAGAATTTTTCCAGAAACCAGAAAATTAACAATATGTGCATACCATGGTGATGGTTAATGTTGAGCTGCCATCAATTGTTCATCTGGAAATGCATCTTGTAAAGGTGCTGCATTTATTCCTGTATTACTTAATCTAGAAAGATGGTCAGCAACAACATTCTCGAAACCTTTTTTATCTTTTATTTCTAAGTCAAATTCCTGCAATAATAAAATCTATCTTAATAGACGTGGCTTTGCATCTTTCTTATTTAACAGATATTTTAATGCTACATGATCAGTATAAATAATAATTTTAGCTCCCAAAATATATGATCTAAACCTTTCTAACGAAAATACTACAACCAACAACTCTTTTTCAGTCGTGGTATAATTTAATTGAGCATCGGATATAGTTTTACTAGCACATGAAATTACTATGGGTTTTGACTCTTTTGTCTGTCGTAGAATGGCCCCCACTGCATAATTCGATGCATCACACATTATTTTAAAGAGAAGGGACCAATCAAGAGCTTGTAAAATGGGTGCTTTAGTAAGTAATCTTTTTATTTCAGAAAAAGACTCAAAACATTTCTCATCAAAATTAAAAGGCACATCCTTATATAATAGCATGGTGAGAGGTTTAAAATTTTTTGAAAAATCTTGAATAAATTTTTTGTAATAACCTGCATGACCCAAGAAAGATCTAATCTGTTTTACTGAATTTGGAGGTTTCATTTTAGATATAATATCAATTTTTTCTCTATCCACCTCTAAACCCATTTCACTCACAATATGACCCAACACAACTCCCTCTTTAACCATAAAATGTGATTTCTCTCAACTCAAAACTATTTTTTTCTCTATGCATTTCTCAAGTACATACTGTAAATGATTTAAGCATTCATCAAATGATTCACCAAAAATAGAAAAATCGTCCATAAAAATCTCCATGCATTTTCCAATCATATCAGAAAAAATAGACAGCATACATCTTTGAAATGTGGTTGGAGCATTACATAGACAAAAAGACATGTGTTTAAAAGCAAAAGTACCAAATGGACAAGTGAAAGTTGTTTTTTCTTGATCTAAAGGGTTTATATAAATTTGATTATAACTAGAGTATCCATCTAGAAAATAAAAAAAGTTTTTTCTAGCTAATTTTTCTAGAATTTGATCAGTAAATGGTAGGGGAAAATGATCTTTTCTCGTAACTGAATTTAATTTTCTATAATCAATGCAAACCCTCCAACCAGTACTTTATCTTGTTTGTATTTCATCCCCATTTTCATTTTTTATAACCGTGATCCCTGATTTTTTTGGCACCACTTGTGTAGGACTAACTCATTTGCTATCTAAAATAGGATAAATAATATCAGCAGCCAGCCACTTTAAAATTTATTTTTTTACAATTTCCATCATGTTAGGATTTAATCTTCGTTGTGGTTCCCTACTAGTTCTAGCCCCCTCCTCTAGATATATACTATACATGCATACACTCATACCAATGCCCCTTAGATCATCCATTTTTCAGCCCATAGCCTTCTTATTTTTTCGAAGTACATCTAATAATTCTTCTTCCTGTTCGTCACTCAAATCAGCTGTAATAATAACAGGAAATAAATTATTTTCCTCCAAAAACATATATTTTAAACTAGAGGGAAGAGATTTCAACTCTAAATTTAGATGATCTTCCTCTTTCTTTTCTTCTAAATTTATATTCTCTATTTCCTCTAATTCGTCCAGCACACAATCATCAATAACATTAGGATCATCAAAATCATCTAGAAGATCTATGGTATGACAATCATATACTTGGGATTTCTTAAGATCATTTGATACCTCAAAAATTTTAATTTCTACTGGTTGATCTCCACATAAAATTTTCTCAATACTTGTGGGAAAATCAATATTCATCTTTGCTGTATGTAAAAATGGTCTCCCTAGGATGATTGGTGTATCATAAAACTGTCCATTAAAATCTATTTCCAGTGCTACAAAATCAGTTGGAAATTTACACCCTTTAATTGTCACTATCATATTTTCTAAAATACCTTTAGGATGTTTTATGGATCTATCAGCAAATTGTAAGGTAAGAGTAGAAGGTTTAAGATCAGAAATATTAAATTTATCACAAATACTTACAGGTAATAAATTAATACTAGCACCGATGTCAAGTAATACATTCTGAAAAATGAATCCATCAATATCACACGAAATTAAGGGGCACCTGTATCTCTCAATTTATATGGTAATTCATTTAATAATAATGCACTAGCATACATAGATAATTTTTCTACTCTAGGTGCCCTTTTTGGTGTACACATTTCTTTCAAAACTCTAGCATATTCAAGAATTTATTCAATGGCAATGAGTAAAGGATGACTAATTTACACCTTGTAAAATTTTCTTTATTTCTTCATTGTGTTCCTTCTTCTTTCTTTGTCTAGGCTCTAGAGCTTTAGAAAATGGAATGGTTGTCCTCTCTTTCAAAATTTCCTTGGTAGAATCTATAAAATCTTCTTCTACTCCTATTTGATTTTGTTTTGGGTTGTCCACGTTTTCTTTTTCTTCTAATATTTGGGGATAAGGATCAGGTAAGATCTTACCACTCCTTAATGCATTCACTATCCTACCATTTTCATTTCGTGGGTTTTTTCTTAGATTAATGTTACTAGACTCCTCTTGCTGAAATCCTATTATTGGGCGGTTCCCTGGATATTCTATGGGCTGACTAGGTTGTTGTCCCTCTTCTCTCTTATTCCCAAAGGCCTCTATAATTTATTTCTGGTGCAGGATCGTTTGATTCATAGTCTATTGCATCATTTGATTCATAATTTGTTGCATCATTTATATAGTATCAGGTTGGGTTTGAGAGGGCTGATTTTTTTGAAATCTATTTTCTTGTTTTGGACGAAATTTAGAGTTTGAATTGGGTCTAAGTGCTACTAGATTTTGAATATTATTTGGGTCTCTCCATGAAAAATTATTCCTCCAATTAAGATTATAAGAATTTGGAAAAGGTCCCTTGTTTCTATTAAAACTGTGAGCTACTTGCACTTGTTCTTGCATAGGGTGAAATGATTGATCTAAATTATAACATTGAAATTCAGAATAATCATTTTCACCATACATAGGACATGTACTATTTGAATTAAATTGAGGGTTAAGAGGTTTTCTAATATTGTCAATAAGTAAATCAAGTTTTTCTAATCTTTGATTAATCTGATTAACCTCATTTCTAAATTTAGAATCATCATCATGATGTAATTCATAAATTCCTCTCTTCTTATCCCTATCATATAATTCAAAAGAGGCTTGATCTCTAGAATTTTCACTGAAATTCTCATAAAGACTATAAATCTCATCAAGAGTTTTCTCCATAAAAGCTCCTCCACATATAGAATCAATCATATTTCTATGTTGTTCTAATAATCCATCATAAAAAATTCTATTGAGCTGCCACTTGGGTATAGCATGATGAGGACACTTTCTAAGTAAATCTTTGAATTTTTCCCATGTCTCATGCAAAGTTTCTCCTGATCTTTGAGAAAAACTCCATATATATTTTCTCATATTTTGAGTTTTTTCCTAAGGGATAAAATTTTCGAAGAAAGGCATATTTTATGTCTTTCCAACTAGTTAATTCTCTATCTAATGTGGATAGCCAATGGCTAACTTTGTCCCTAAGTGTATGAGGAAATAATTTCATCTTAATAATTTCCAGTGTAACTTGAGGGAGATTAACTAAATCATAGACCATATGAAATTTTTCTAAGTGCTGATGAGGTTCCTCTAAAGGCAATCTATGAAAATTAGGGAGCATTTGAAAAATTCCTGGATTTATTTCGAATTTAATAGTGGGTGCTAATGGGACTCTAATATTTGATGCTCTTTGAAATGAATTAAGGATATAATAATTTTTCATGGCCATAGGATTGTTCTCAGTTTGACCTGTACTTCTTTCAAGATCTATCAAAATTAATTTTTCTTTCGGATTTTTAGTCTTGAATGAAATAATAAAAGGATTTTCTAGCCTTTGATGTAACGATCCTCTACCATGCATAAAAAAATCAATAAATTTGAGAGAAAACTTTAGTAATTGTTACCCTTCAGGATCCAGTCCTTGCCTTGCTTCTTTTCGTTCCCTTTTTCTTAAAAAAAATCGACAAAAAGAAAATAAAACAAGAGTTAATTTTATTTTTTTGTACTTTAAGAGAAAAATAGAAAAAGACTAAATATTATGCAGTACATCCTAGACAACAGTGCAAAAATTTAACGTGACTTAGTCATTGTATATTAAATCATGCAAATCTAAAATTTATAAAACTAGAAAATACGAATTTTTAGATATTTAGAAGTATTTCTGAATAAATATATCAATTATAATTCAATAAAACTTCCAAAAATAGCAGTAATTTTCTAGGTCGATCATAGAGTTGTAATATAATATCTAGTAATTATTGAGAATTTTTCTTAATGAATACGATTTTCTATGAATTTTATACTAGGAAATGAAAAGGAAATATATTTAAAATTCACGAAAAGGGGAAATAAGGGTGCGGATGTCGAGATGATGTTAGCGCCCGGCGAACACGAATCGGGCGGAAACAGAGGTTATGCCCGGTGATTCTTACGTAAGTGATTATAGACGATTTAATTGATCAAATTAAGATCTATAAAAGCCGGAAGAATCGTAATAGAACAAAGTATATTTTAGTAAATTAAAATCACAAAAACTATCACTAAATGAAGCGTAAAGTAAATTGAAAGTAGGAAAACAAAGTTCCAACATCGCGACGGCGATGCGTCGGCGATGCACCAGAATCCTGAGCATTCGGAAGGATCATCGTGCAGTGTCCACGGCCTCTAAGGCTCTCCTTGGAGAAAGACGATGTGGGCAATCTCTAGATCTCCTTGCGAACTCTAGAGATTAATGAAATGGGTCGTCAAGTCATCTCCGGCGGCTGTCACCTGGTGGAGCAGAAAAACGACGACTTTGCAGCTCTTCAGCAGCTGTCACCCAACGGAAAGGAGTTAGATGGAGGTGGGGTGTGTGTTAGGGAGCTTCATCCTTAGGTCAACGCAGCAAGAGGAGGCTCTTCATCGCATCTGGTATACTCTCAGGAGGTGGCAACTCATCTCCCGGCGGATCGTCCTCTTCTCGACAACAACTTGTTCGTCGATCAATCAGAGATGATTTACTCAATGGATTCGCAATCCATTTATCGCGAATCCTTCAGCAATTTGAGTAACAATGCTCTGCGAATCGCGTTGACAAGATTTTCGCCGATGATCCAGTGATTATGGTTGCTTAATCCTTCACCGGTGATATGCAGGAAAATCGCAATAATCAGATAAAAATATGAGTTTTGGCTCTGAGAGGATTCGAACCCATGCCAATTGCCCCTCGCCTTTTCTGAGGAAGGT